GAATTATGCAAGGTGATGTACGATGTAGTGTGGTTGTACGGTGCGGTTGCAAACGCGCAATTTCACGACGCCTAATCCAGCTGTTTGCTACCCTCCTACTTCCCCATACTCTCTACTCCCGGTCGCTGGTGAACGCTGGTGGACGCTGGCAGACGCTAGATCGATATCTATACTTTCCTAGTCGCTGACGCTGCCGGACGCTCGGAACGCTAGTGGTCGCTGGTGGACGCTGCCGCAAAGTATGAACGGAGCCTCCTGACATTAAGCTTCGATACAGTTTGAGCTCACAGATGCGAATTTTCGCGTTATTCACGCGAGAGACATGTGTCGTCGGTCAGTTAGTCAGGTCGAGGTGAGCACCAAAATGATGCCTGGGGAGAAGTGATAATCAGATGCCGATTCGGACTCCACCCACAGGCAACGTGCCGCACAACTAGCTCCAACGGTATCCAGGCACTACTGGTCTGCGCCCTCTCACGCTTGACTTTTCACTACTTTTGGGTGCTTACTTTCTACTGCTTGCCAACGTGCTCGCTGCGTACTCACGTTGTGGATAGAGGGTGGACCCGGGGCGGCACCTGGTTGTCACTACCCGTCAACCGTCGTTTCGGTGCTCACCCCGCAAATGGCCCATCTTGCAGGTAAGCATAACGCGTGGTCCTCAAGGCACATTGATTTTTTTCAAAGTTGCTGAAGAACCGATTTCTCGACTGGTTTCATTTTTTCTGGTCCTAGATGCTCATCACCTGGCACTCACTAATGCGTCCGTACGAGAGCGAATATTTTAAAGATTTTTATTGAATAACAAAACAAGATCTCTAGTTATACATAAATTGCGAAATCTGAAAGGCAGTGAATCCCTACGCTACACGACAGTCTATCACAAGCTTTCTGTTTTGCTGAAAGAAATATCTACAATGTATTTTTATTACATTATTACTTCCTCCAGCAGCTGGTAAACTATCTCTGTAAACACATTAGCGCTGAGGTTATTAATGCTAAAAACAAATTATATGAATAATGAGGGAATATGAACAATGTGGTGAGCAAATATCGCCTTGAAAATCCGAATGGCACAAAGAAATCTCAATCGATAACCACCAATCAGTGACCATTTCACTAAGTGGCATGATGATTCGAATCTACCAAATAACTGGTACTGAACACGTCAGTGCTGAGGTGAATATAATGCAAAAATAGTACTTATGAGGAGACACTCGTAAACCTGTTGCTTTTAACGATACAATTCGTCGATTTCTTTTCGGAACGCCTTCTCAATCACCTTCCTTTTCAATTTCAACGCTTCGGTTACCATACCAGAAGCCGGAGTCCAGGGTTCAGGACAAAGTAAAATCTTTGTTGGAATCTCCACTCTTTGCAATTTTCCTGAAATTAACCTGTTATTGAGCTGGAGTGATTTTAAACATGTACAAAATCTTGTTTTTATACGGGAGGTTAGGCTACGTTAATACTCGCGGCAGCGTCCACCAGCGACCAATAGCGTCCACCAGCGTTCCGAGCGTCCGGCAGCGTCAGCGACTAGGAAAGTATAGATATCGATCTAGCGTCTGCCAGCGTCTAGCAGCGACGAGCATCGTCTGGTAGTGGAAAGTATGGAGTGAGTCCCCTAGACGTTGCTAGGATAGGAGGGTAGCAGACAGCTGGTGCCCTTCGCCCCATACACACTTCCAGCAGTCTGCTGCTGGTCGCTGGTGGATGCTGGTAGACGCTGGCAGACGCTAGATCGATACCTATACTTCCCTAGCCCTCGAGACGCTGCTAGTCGCTGAGGACGCTGGCAGACGCTAGATCGATATCTATACTTTCCTAGTCGCTGACGCTGCCAGACGCTCGGAACGCTGGTGGACGCTATTGGTCGCTGGTGGACGCTGCCGCAAAGTATAAACGCAGCCTTAGGCTTAGAATTGAGCCCTCCCTGGGTAGGCGGAAACTCATAAGCATGCGCTTTCTTCATTGGTACGCCCCTCTTTCCAATACGACAGAGTGGAGGGGAGAACCAATGGCGAAGGCTCTACGGTTTTAAGGATCTGCTACCAGGATATCACAATGTTGCCTAAAAATTGCCTTATTGAACAGAAGTACGGGAAGTATTGGTGCCAGTAAAAGTCAAGCGTTTTTTAGAGATTTTCCACTAAAAAAAAAAAACTTTCCCGGGGATTAATGATGCCGGCAACGATGTTCAGACATGGGAGCGCATGCGATCGCTAGTAGGACTTAAAACGAAACAAATGCAGGGCGCACGCTGAGGAGGGCTATTCTGAGGTAGGATACATGATTGGTATGCTTAAGATTCCGATTACTTACCGTTGACGTGTGACTGTATATCTTTCAATACTGCATTAACCATATCCTTATTCTTACACAGACTTTCTATGTCATCATCAGAAATGCCAATCTGAAAAAAGAAAGTTTTTGTATGAAATTCTTTAGAGTCTCGTAATCCTTATGTGAACGGCTCTCACTTCTTCTGCTTTCTTCCTCAAGTACTTATGATCTGGTACAACCAAAGCGATCAAGTAGTCTTTTGATGAATCACCATGAACACATACGGTATCGATTCCATGACCAGTTTGAATGTTGGTCTCAACTTTTCCTAGTGAAATGTACTCGCCATGGGCCAACTTGAGCAAATCCTTCTTACGATCTACAATTACAATGAATCTTGTAGTATTACCAAAGTGCGATATCAGATTTTCTATTTCTTACCAATAATTCTGAGTGATCCATCTTCACGGAATTCTCCTATGTCGCCTGTGGCGAAATATCTTTTGCCGTTTCTTTCTACGAAGTCCTCCTGAAACGTTATAGTTGCTTATCTTGTCTAAAGGCAGATCATGCTGGATGTGGGTGGGACGCTCATGAAAGGGATTCCTGGGTCAATGACCAAAACACGCGGCCAAAACCGACAGGGCCCTGCCAGGGCACGTCCTGCCGCTGGAAAAATTTTAGGGAAATATGACCCCTCCCCCAATTTCGCCCTGTGGTACGACTTCCTCCCCATCCGACTACTAGACTACTATCTTACCTCCCTGCCAACTTTTATAAGCCTCCTACCACTGTTCCCAGAATTTCCCAAAAATCTATCCCTTTCTCCCAAACTTTTGCCGTCGAGCGGAGGGGGAGGAGAGGAGGGGATATATAGCACCAGTGAGACGAGAAAAACCGCTGAAGGGCGGCAACTCCTTCCACGGCGGACACAGCAAACGCAGACTCCCCCCCCCCCCCCCTAGCCACCAACTGGAATTTTCCCAACGATGTTGAATAGCGCCATGAAACAGAGAAATTGCGATACCAAAATTTTGTTTCTGAGACCGAACTCGCCCTTCCCTCCCCCGCTTGGGGTTTCACCAACATAGAGAGTGCCTCGGCCCTCAACCGACAAGGAATTCCGAGCTTTAGGAACTTATACGGCACTATTTACCCTTTACTGCCCCAGTCATCCGAAATCAGGCCAGTTCCTGACCGACTTTTTTCTCCGTGGACAGATTTTGCTCAAATTTTGTCTACTGGGGTAGTTTGACCTCCAGAATACGAATATCACATTCGCTCAGCCCGAAACTTTCTGGCGCCCGCGCCACAGGCGCCAATGATTTGGGGTATTTTGGCGCCGGCGCCCGTGGTGCGGGCGCCAGGAGGTTTCGGGTTGAGCGGATGTGATATTCGTGTTCAGGGGGTCAAACTACCCCTGGGAGCAAGTTTTCAGCGAATTTGGTGATTTCGAGTATTTTGGCGCCGGCGCCCGTGGCGCGGGCGCCAGGAGGTTTCGGGTCAAGCGGATGCGATATTCGTGTTCAGCGGGTCAAACTACCCCTGGAGCCAAGTTTTCAGCAAATTCTGCCCACGGAGAAAAAAGTCGGTCAGGAACTGGCCTGATTTCGGATGGCTGGGGCAGTAAAGGGTAAATAGTGGCCGACTTTACATATCTTCGCTTTTCCAACAAGGAATGGCTACTATTTTAATTACCTTTGTCTTCTCTGGATTATTATAGTATCCAATGGCAACGCATTTTCCGCCGATTAGAATTTCTCCTTGTGGTTTTTCATTATGCGGTGAGTAGCCAGCTAAAAATACAAATTCAAGGCAGTAATCTCGTGAGCAGCTCGAGTCAGTTCAGCAAACAGTACACGCCCAGATACAGATAACACAGTGACGCTCATCCCTGAGTGTATGCGCAGGCGATAGGCAGTATTTTCAAGGTTTTCAGTGGCATCACCACCCTCGTCACCCACATTTGAGGCAGTAAAGTGTAAAGGTTCTTGAATTGCAGTTCGGGCTACCAAAAAAAGACAGGGAAAAGGAAAAAAGGACCAACTAATAGTTATTTGCAATGTGCCTTCACAGAAAAAAGAGTGATATTCATACAATCGATGGAAATAACTTGAAACTGACCCTCTGCCCACTCTTCGAGCAGAATTTCGGTTGAAGTGAGTGGTGGGCCAACGGTTCCAGTAGAAAGGTCGTGAGCTGAAAAATTGGGAAAGAAGTTTATGGTTGTCAGGCCGCTCACATGGAAAGGTATGATCGGCTGGTAAAAAAAAGAAGTAAGTATGCTATCGAACTACGTACTGTCAGCCAAAGTTCCTGCTCCACAAGTTTCTGTCAAACCATAACCCTGAACCACTGGACAACAGAAGCAGATATTCATAAACCTGGACAAATTCTCTTAATAGTAACTGTTTATAAAAGTTCACATATTAGGCGAAGTGAAAATACCTCTGTGTTTCTGGGCTGAGAGGAGCACCACCTGACAAAACACACCGAATATGGCCACCCAGTAAGCTGCCGATTCGATTGAACACCAATCTGAATAGAAGGGTCTCCACTGATGTACAGAACCCAAAATCGAGGTCAGAACAATCACTCAATCAGCATATTGAAAACACAAGGCTACGAAACTCCTTCAATTCTAAGTTTGCTCGACGAACAAGTGGCCCAGCGAGTTCGCATTGCAACATCTCTAGGAGATTGGCTGGCGTGGGCTAAGCGTACTCACTCAGACGGACAGCGGCTGTGCACTGTGATAGTTGTTTTGGACAAGTTTGTAATATGGTGAGACATCATGTCCCCATCAGAGGGCAGGATGAGTTGTTTCGAATGAAATGTCGGGCGGAAAACAGATCTTCTACCATGCACAAATGAGGTGTGTGACCACGCCTCCTCCCTTTTTCGGGAGACGGGTATACGCTACGTACGAACATTGTGTACCGCATCCTAGTTTAGCGAGTACGAGTGGCTGCTTTATGAAAGCATCCGAAACTAGGGGGATGAGTATTCTGGCTTGTTTGTACGTGTAATACGTACGCGCTGGTGCTGAGATACAACCAATATAACAAGTTAAGTGGATTACTCTTAGGTTGAGTGAGCGCAGATGTATATCAGCAGGGAAAAAATTATAGTATTGCATTATGCTGGAAAATCAAAAAACACCAACGAATCTATTCGAAAATCTCGGGTAAGGCTTATTGCCCTCCAATTCAAGCTTACTTTAGAGAGCCCTAAAAGCGTAATTCTAGAAAGTTACGGAAAATACCTATAGCTGGCACTTGAGGCCAATAGTTAGGACTAATCTCGAGAGCCTTCACAGTAAGCATGTTCATGAAAAGCAAAGGAAGCACTAACTTGTTGAGAATAAAACTTGTGTAGCCTTCCTCGTAACGTGCACGCTTCCGTTCGTAACAGGCCCGGAACATCTCGCGGAAAAGTAGGCTGTTGGAGTTCACTTCCTCGATAACTGCTTTGTAAATTCTATCCATTACAGCCTACAAAAATGTAGTATTATGTAACCAAGAAGGAGGTAAAGGTGGTATGTATAACGGCTTTGATGTCGGAATTTGACGAAAAGCAGAGAAAACGTAGGGAAGGACAGACCGCATCAATGAAACTAATGATTTTGTTGGGATCGGAACGCGATGGGCTGTGAATCCCTACTGGTATGGGAGACACTACGACCACGTTGCTGCAAAACACAGAAACTAGACGACCACTAAGCAGATAAGTAACTTGGCAGCACTATCGCGGTTGACCATTTAGGTTGAAGCTAAGGCTGCGTTCATACTGTGCGGCAGCGTTCACCCGCGACCAATAGCGTCCACCAGCGATCCGAGCCTCTGGTAGCGTCAGCTACTAGGAAAGTGTAGTTATCGATCCAGCGTCTGCCAGCCGTCCACCACCGTGCACCAGCGAGCAGCAGCGAATCGAGTACTGGGGAAGTATAGACATCGATCCTGCCTCTGTCAGTACCATCTGTTTGCTATCTTCCTATGGTGCTCTCACCAGCAGTCTGCTACCCTCCTATATGCCCATACTCTAACCCGCTACCCTCCTATCGCCCCGCACTCCCCACCCAGACGCTGCTGGTCGTTGGCAGACGCTAGAT